AGAGGTAACAGACGTTTGGCTCTCTTTTTAACAACACTTTCTCTGCATGTTATGTGTTGTGTTCAGTTACTTTTTTTTTCTCCTTCAAACAAATTTTAAGCAGGCAAACCCAAATTTCTTATCTCAAGTAGAGCTTGACTGATATTGGCAGTCCCATTTTACTGGCTTACCACAGATGGTTGTACTGGCACATATGGTTTGGGACTGGGGGTTGAATTTGGTCAGGGGAAGTAAATTAAACTTCAACATTAACAAAGGACAATCTGAATTTATTACTTCATAGTTCTGTCTATGTATTTGCTATCCAGACTAATATCATGCAATCTTTCATTACTCCATAATTCGAATACATCTCTGCAGATCTCATGCTAACATGCTAATTGCCAAAACCATAATGACAGAAGCTGTATCATGATGGGCGACACCAGACTAAGACCTGATAATGGCTGTCTAGTGTCGCTGAACCTCAACACAGGCAATCTCACTCAAATAACTATTAACAGTGTCACTTTTTTTGCCATCTACTTACGCAAGGAAGTCTCTCAAATGCTATGTTTATCTTTTAATCAGGGTTGTCTTATATTTTGTCCAATGGGATAGGTTAAATCAGCCTGTACACATTTATTTTTACCTTGAAACAAAAAAGTCTATTTGTGCTAATCAGCATCAAACAAGCTTAATTAATCCACTGTGATTTATAGGATCAGTGTTTTGCCTTTTCCCAAAACAAAATTTTAATCACACTTGTCTTATGGTGTGCTTCAAATCATCCTGTGACTGGGTGGTTAATTTAATAAGGTAAGTGAATCACACTGAACAATCACCACCACAGCAAGTCACTTCATTTTTACTGTATCATTGTGAAACAGAATACTGCAAAACTGGTAAACTACTGGAGCACGGACAATTGTGGACTTCTGTTCTTATCACAACAATATAAGGAAATGTAAGGAAATAAAACAAAAAGCCTCAAATTTCTAAAAAGTTCATAGAACCCATTTATAACTATTCACTGTGGTAGTTATATTAAACTACACTTAGATAAAATCCTTTAAGTGTTGATATCATGCCTACATGGTGTGGGATAAAAGATGATAAGAGGCTGAAGTTATTCACAAGTCTAACCTGAGTATTTTACAAAAGAGGAGAATCAGAAGTCGAGTGATCTCAGCCTTTACTTCAGCCACACAGAGGACCTTCTTGAGAGCCCTTCCAGTGCTGTGCTCATTGTTTCCTCTGGTGCTTCACCTTGTGATTTCCTCTTATACCAGCAGCACTTTCGGTTGACCCTGACCCCAGCAACACTTAAAGCCCGTACAGGGAGAAAAGTAAGATGTAATGACACTACATTTCACTTCTTCCAAAGATGAGTGCAGAGCTTACTTAAAAAAGCATTACCTTTGGCTGCAAACTCACACACCTACACCCACAAACAAATATACCTGACTGTTATTGCTAACAACACTTGCACATGTTCACTGTTGTTCCCATACAGTTCACCAACAGGTTAAGTTGAGCTTGTTTACAGCAGTGGGAGAGAGCCAAATGCAACAAAAAACATCTACTTAGCTTTTTCTAATAGCTGATTAGGTAAATTGTCCTTTAACCAGCGGGACCGCGATCCAGTCCTCATGACAGCAAAGCATATTTGAGCTAGACAGTGATTCTCTACCATCTTCTGTGGCACTAACTGGTCTACAGCTGACCTGGCACTCTGACCTGCCTGTGGAGGGAGCAAGTGAAGAGAGAAATATATCCGTCGGGATTCAATAGGTATTCCCCCAAACAAACTCCCATGTACAGTCAAAGCAGTGACAGATTATTGCTAGCGTTTTAACCATCACCTTCAGGCTTATATTTTGAACATATTAGGGTACTGGCATGCAACAGTGAATGCAGAGTGAGTTGAGAGTGAGCATGAGCATGAGCATGACACTTAGCATGAAACAGTCAGAGAAATAGCCGTTCGTGCCTCCACTGAAAGAAGCAGTGAGTGATCAGGTGGTTTGCTGGGCTCCTGTAATTAACAACCTCAGCCAGATCCAGCCAGGCATGACCAGCAAATTAACATGCAGCAGCTTTCACACTCTATCCCACAGATCTGCTCAGTGAGCAGAAAACCAATACAGGGCCACTCTGAAAATAGCCCAGACCACAGATTGTCCTTTCAACTACAATACAGCTGATACTATGACTCGATTCAACAAGCTTGCTTAACAAATTTCTGGTCCTAGTAGTATAAAGCCACAGAGACAATGAGACACACAACTTATGTAATATTCAAATCAAAATTCTTGTAGCGTATAATATACGATGTACTTGGAGAGGTCTAAGATAAGGTTAACCGGCTGCCAATAACTCTCACTTGTCCAACTTTTATATAGACAAAAAATCTTAAAATCTGAGACATTTCAATTAATTAATTCTTAACATCATCACTGCCTCAATGGTATTAACTATTTTAAAAAATCAGAAATGCAAGTTAAACGGTTCACCATCTAGTAATTTAGAAAATTCCCTTCCGTCATGGCTATTACAGTCAGGTTTGATGTTGGGACTGTTGACATTTTACAATCATCATGAGGGGATTAAGCCCGGCAGCCTAACTTTTTATCCAGGGTAAATGCTTCTGCTAATATTACGAAAAGAAAGAACACTGTGAGCAATGAAAGGAGGCCAACTATATTCCCAAGTCCCTGTCCTGTCCCCCTCAGCACCCCATCCTTCATCACTGCTTCCTGTCCACACAGGAACCAGCAGCACCAGGAGGAAATCCTTCCTTAGCAGAAAGCATGGTAAAATCTGGGGCGTTGGGGGACATCAACATGTTGGCCCTACTATCAGCTGCTAGACAAACAGACTAACCTTATCTTTAACTGCACATGAGGGAAAGAAAAACACAAGAGGACGTGCAGAGCTCTGTGTTGACCTCCACTTTGGTTGTACTAGTCTTGACATTGAAGGTGTGCAATGATAGCAGAAAGATATAACCATATTAACTTACAGCAGTTTTGCACAAGCTTCTAAACACTATAAAGCTGATACTGGTTGTCACAGTTGTGGTGCTGTACAAGAAATCAATACAACAGCAAACATACCACTATGAAAAGGTTGCAAGCTGGCGTGCATCAGTCAAACAAATGGTTGCAACCATAAACATCTCGAACGGTCCTTTTGTCAAGAGAGATTCTTCTTTTCCACTTATTCCAACTCACTGCCTGATTTACTGCAGATATACCTTCACTGAATACCTTGTTATTTACTGTTGTTCAGTTTTCATTTTTTGATGAATACGAGTTAAATGTTGTCAAATTCAGTCACAGTATGACATCTTAAAGATTTCAGATAAATAGATGCATGTTTGCATTGTAAACCATGGTTTTGAATATTATGGTAAATATCAACAAAGATCAAGCTCAATACTACAATATGAATTTCATTAATATTACATACCCTAACTAGAGGAGCGTTTCTGTCTCTTCAAAGTTTTCAGATTCAGTTTATTTAACAAAAAAAAAAAAAAAAAAAAAAAATATATATATATATATATATATATATACTGCAACACCTATTGATCCTGCTTTGCAACTATTCTTTATTCTTTATTACTTTATGTTGAAAGGATTAGATAACATATTAACCTGCAGTACTACATGTTCATCCTTACAAGACATAAACTACATTGTACAGAGCAATACCTGAGCACAAATGACCTACTTTGACTGAAATCCTGGAGAGAAAGCACATCATATTATATGTTGTACTTATAATGAATCTATAGCAGTTTTCCAACCTAACCCACAATTCCCTCTTCACTACTTTCTTCCTCTCTACACGTTCCCACAGTACCCACTGACCCCGTTTTATCTGTGATGCACTGCAGAAGCGTTAGATACTGTATATTACAGTCCTCAATACTATGAAGGTCATCTTGGTTTTAACAGAGTGAGTCTACTCTGATGGGAAGCAATAAAAAATGTATATGTGCACGTCTAAAATATAACAGAAGTTTTGCTATTGAGAACCCAATACTTTTGTGTTGTTTCGGTTGTTTTTGTTCATAATTTATGTCTACTTTGGTTCAGGAAGAACAGAATGGACATTAAGTATTTAAAAAGCATGTCATGTGCTCTCTACTTCAATGTTTTGCAAAGTGGAATTGTCATTTAGACCCACAGGGACAAAACTTTAGAGCCCTATGATAGCTGATCAATAAACAGAACCTCAAAAGAGGATTGGAAATATGTTCCATTATGCACAATACAAAACTCAAATGTGCAGCAGATGTCAGGTTACTACAGATTAAATCCATGTCTCTTTTTGTTGTCATTGTGAAGGAAGACAGGGTTAGAACACCAGCTAGACAACAGTTCTGACTGTCATAAATACTGTACTTCCTTGTCCAATGAAAGACACAAAGAAATCCACCAGGATGGTAGATTAACATTTATTTTTCATAACTTTAAAATCAAATATTCCTTGTGTAGACTAACTTGATGGCACCTAAACCAGCCAACCAGCTGGTGGTAAGCCCTATTCTCACCTCAGCCTTTAGTATATAAACGGTGACTTATGTTTGTGCTGCTCAGTGTTGAGCTACAGAACTGCAAGGACTACGTTTTTAAAGCAGTCAGGATGACACAGGACTAAATGACAACAAAGGTTGTTCTGCAGCATCAGTTAGCATTCGCTGGCTAGTTAGCCGCAAGCAGAGCTAGCTCCCATTAGCTAGCATCCATGCCTTATGACAGTGTCACTTGTCTGCTATTAGTACGTCAAAAAAAATCAATGAACACAGGCGGTGAGTGGCAAGCAGCTTATTTTGCCATAGTGTGAATTTATGCTGCCTGTCAGCTAGCTTGCAATGGTCACCGCGGTGACAGCCAGCCAGCTAACCAGACGGCTCGTTTGACGTTAGCTGTCGCCTGATGCCAGTTAGCTAGCTCGACTAGCTAAGCCTCGGCGATGCACCATCAAAAGCCCGGTGACATTTCACTCACCTAACAGTGCCCGGAGGTGTTTGAGCCGGGTCAGCACATCCTTCTTTGGGTCCAGAACTTTCTGTGTAGATTTCTTGACGTCTCCATGCCCCCTTCGAGTGAACATTCCGCTGTAAATTGCAACCGTGGAAGCTGAAATCACCTGTGTTTCACCATGCACGAAGCCTCCAGTGTGACTGTCACTTTCCTCACCACCACTCTATGCTTGCTCGGTAAACATTCATCCGACGGCCGCTAGTGTCCTGTTTTTTTGTGGGTGTGTAAACACGGAAGCGCAGCTTGACAGAGAGGAGTGGTCATTATATGAATACGCCTCCTTGTTTATAACCGTTCCACCTTGCATTTCCATGGGTCTTTTTCCGTGCGTTTGTAGAAATTATTTCACCTTTCAATACACTTTACTTCTGTTTCCTGGTTTAAGACCAAGCTATCGCATTGTGCAGAAACGGGTTTCGCCTCAAACTCTCATACTTTTTGAGAAAGAGTACCTTCAGTGCGCTGTAATGTTTAAACCCAATAAACTTCAGATTGGAAACGGGCACTCAGCTTCCGTCTAAAACGGATTTATAAATTCCACTTTCTTTGATACAAGAGAGGTTTGATAAACGGAGGTTGGGGTCTGGTTGCTGTAATAGCCCCCAAGCGCCCTCTGGTGTTTAAAACAGTTAAACACCACAATACAGGAGAAGGGAATGCATGTTTTTGCTGCAGCATTTGTTCATATATTTCAGCGAAAACAATATATGTTTGGAATAATAACTAACGATTATTTTCATCAATGATGAATTTGCTAATTATTTTCTCAAATATCTTTAAGTTAATACAATATAATTAGAAAAAAAAGCAAATATTCAAATTTGAGTGGCTGGAACCACAGATTTTCGGCATTTTTGCTTAAAAATGACAAACAACGACCAAAGTGGCTGCCAATTCATTATCTGTCAATTCACTACTCTTTTCTTTTTTTTTTTTTTACCCTTTTTTCAACTTCTCCAAGGGCTTTAAGAAAAGTTATACACAAAGCCACTCACATCTAGTGCATGGGTTAATTTTATCAAATAATAAATATATATAAAGTGAACCTTCATGGAGTTCAAATCCTGACATATTGTAGCTTCACATAATCAAATTAAATGCATGTTTTAAGACAGTTCAATAATATGTTCCAGTGTGTAGAGTGCAGCAATGTTGTGTTTTTATAAGTTATTACATTATTATGACAATGTGTTCACCTTTATTTGTTTTGCCATTACAGGAAGCTGGCCATAAACAGACCACTTTCACTGTAGACATTTGTCATAGCATTATAAGCTCAGGTATAATTCATAACATTAACGATGGCTGCATTCCATTTAGGAGTACAAGGTCTTTGGTATTTATTGTACTGTACATGCAGGCTCTCTGACACAGCTTACTGGGACACTTTCACTTTCATAGAATAGTTGTTAATATTATTGATTACACCTGTGCTTTTCCTGTTTGAGACGTGTAATGGGGTGAAAGTGTCTGCTATAAAAAAGCATGTGTGCATGTGTGAGTTCTAGCTGAGGCAACAATGTTGTTTCTCATATGATATAAATGCACACCAATGCCTGTGCCTTTACCATACCTTACTGTAGTTAACTCCAGCTCAGAAACCCTGTCACATTGTAGTCAAAGACTGTATTAAAAATATTGTGCGTATACTTATTAATTGTCATTTATGAATGAACCAGGGAAGCTAACTTCCTGATTAAAGAGACCTGTATTTTTTGATATTTACACCCTGCGGTGGTGACAAAGAGAAAAAAGGTACAACAGTGTCATTTCTCATTCAAGCCGCTGCCACTTGACACTTTAAACTGGAGTTTTTTTTATGAATGAGTATAAGAATACAAGGGAATTTTTAAGTAGAAGAGCTCTCCTGCAGTTAAAGTAAACTTAGGGTTATGCTAAATGAAACGGAGTTCAGTGTGCTCATGACATTAATGGATTTTCCAAATAATTTGTTCTACTTGGTTGTGCAGACAGCAAATTCCATCTTGGAAATAAAAAAAAAAGTGTTTATGTTCTGAGATGAATCTTAAGTCTAAAGAAATTGGATGCATCCGTTAATCAACTCCAATAAATTGACATTATGTGCAATCTCACATTTTCGCTCGTCTGAACCTATCTGTCTTATTTTGGAGGCAATTAATTTTGAGGCCAAGCTGGGAAAATTATTTTATTTATACATTGTAGACACATCTCACTGAACAGAGAGCTTTGACTGTAGAGTTAAAATGGAGTTCAAGTTCTAAGTGGGAAATCTTTTCAGACTTAGATAACGTCTTTATAAAGAAATGCATCACAATCTGTGCCTCGGCCATCACTATGAGATGACTAATAAGACTAAGAATAAGAAGTATTATGAGATAATGTTCACTAATATAAAGAAATAGACAAATTGGCTCTTTATTGTGGTGGGAAAAACTACTAGTGACACTGGGTCCTGGGATGACCACATTTACCAGGAGATGGCGCCTAAACCATTGGTATGGTGATATGAGTCGGTCATACATACCAGTACAGACTACACATATCTTGAGTGTGTTTGCTCTGATGAATAGAAAGCGTGTATGCTCTCCACATGGCCTGCAAATTTGGGGATATCAGTGCAGAAAATAGTGAGGAAATGAAATCATTTGGAAATAGGAAGAGAAACTATAACCAAAGAAAATGTAAGTAAAGTCTCATAGAGAAGTAGCCCATGTTTTGTTTGAATACCTCAAATCTGAGGGTAAAATAAAGGCATTCATAAGAATTTTTTTTGTGTTTATAAGTAAACTGTGAAGAATCCTACAGGCTCAATAAAGTAGACAAGACTGTATTCTATTTCATCCACCACCCCCACATAGAACTGACGTTACTGATGTTGTGACAGCGGTGGTCTCTCTTTTTCAAGGTTCTCTGTAATGAATGCCTTGAATGATACGAGAGGAAACAGAGGGTAGTGAGAGCGGAGGCCAAAGAAGAGGAGTAAAAAGAGGAGTAAAATCAGCCTTTGCCCTGCAGTTTGGTATGACACTCATTATCTGAAGTGGGCCATTCTGAGAAAGGAGGAGGTTGCCTGTCACAACAGATGTTGATTACACAAAACAGGGTAGTTTGGAGGGATGCGTGAATAAAACACAAGGACACACACACACACACACACACACACACACACACACACACACACACACACACACACACACACACACACACACACACAGGGTTATTGTTGGTGCTTTGTCATCAGTCCTAATTGATTGTAATCACCATTCCTTCTTGGCAAACCTCCCCTGTTCTTAAAGTGCAGGTTATTGCTCATTATCTAAGATGGCATGGACCTACGATAATCTATCAAGAATAACAATGGGACTGAATGTTTTCTTCCCACTCTAATCGTGCACCTGGAAGTATTTTAGGTCCAGCTCATCTTTTTTAAATGATATATCGTAGGCTAGAACCATTCAACTTTATGGTCTGCTGTAGAGCCCTGCACTGCATTCTCCAAGATAGTTCAGCGCTGAATTAGACAATTATGGTGCCAACTGTGACATTATTTTTGAATGAGATCATTTATTTCAAAATGAGATTTCCAGAGTATAAACCATCATAATTTATTTTTTTCATACAGGCTCAGAATTGCCAAGTGGAAGGCCCTGGCAGTGAAATGAAGGCCTCATCATGACCAAATGGTGGCACTGTAGCCCTACAAATGGAGACCAGCCTTCTCATGGCCAGGCTGTCGGACTGATTCCAATCCAAGGTTTGAAAAGCACTTGTCTGCTCTAAATTGTTCTTATAAAGAGCTTGGAAATACTTGACTTTTCTCCTTATGTGGTTATGGATTTCCTTTTTGTACAATTAAGTGCCATTAAAAGCTAATGTATCCTGTTAAACCACATTAAGGTGTTGGGGTGGACAGTGGCACAGTTATCCATCCGTATATTGTGAATAGGAGCCAACTCTGGGAGCATTTTTTGAAATCTATATTGGACCATTCAGAAACTTCAGGATGAAAAGGATCAAAAGGGAAATGTCCACGGGGCTGCTGATTTTCAGGCTGCGAGACCACCCACAGCTGCTTGACATAGATGAGCTACGGAGAAATGAAATGATGAAACAAAACCGATCTGTGTTTGAATCACACAGGCTCACAGATGTATAGTATCTAATAAAGAACACCTTTCGGATTTTAGTTTTTTGTTAACCATTTTTTAAAATTTCACTATTCATGGATGTGTGAGAGCCTATTTAGAAGAGAATTCATGAAAAATTTTACTGATAACATTTTATTAGATACATTTAACAAATTAAATACATATTTTAGCCCAGTGCTATATTATAGTATATAAGTATTACATGAGAAAACCTTGATGCAATTTGTTAACAGCAGGTTCTACAAATAAGGCACAAACAAGAGTTTGTGGCTCCCACCAGGGGTCGTCATGGTGCCCTTGGCCACCAAGGTTATCTCACAGTTAACAAGTTCAAAGCACAATATCCCTAATTGTACTGTCTACTTCTTTTATTTTGAAATTCTGGTGGGACGTATGAGACGAAGCTATTGGGGCAATGAAAAAAAAAAGAAGAAAATTCTCGAAAATTCTATGTTTTTCTAAATAACAAAATGAAGAATAGTTTGTGTTTATAAGGTGAATTATTCACAACTTATTTTTGTAACAGTAGAAATATGAAGTTCTGCATATGGATATGAGCAATTTCTGAGTCTAGTGTTTGTAATTCACACTGTAGTTTGGAGCACATCTCCATAGAGGTTAATGAGGGGGCACTCTGAAGTAATTAAAACAAGAGCATTATAAGGCAGCAGTTTCACATAAGGTACTCACAGCAACATACCCCATACTTAATTAAAACTCTTTGCTGACAGCATTTTGTATCTTCTCAGGTAATCTGCTGTGAAATTAATAAGGAGGGAGAATTAAATGACTAATGTTGGCAAAGAAAGGCTATTTTCTTTCCTGCCGTATAGATGACAGGGGTCTCTATCTGGAACGCGTGATCCTTATTGCGCTGAAAAACACTTCTTCGGGTTCTCTCCGTAATCTGATTCCAATTTCACTTGTGGTGTGACACTGTAGCGACAAGCCAGGGGGACGTTTAATTGAAATGTCCATGCTTTTAATTGGATTCTGTTAAGATGTGAAATTACCTTCTGAATTACAGTCTTGTACCTTTA